AAATCAGTATAAGTGAAGTGACTCTATCCAAGCGAGATGGGAACGAGGAAGCATGAGTTGCCATTAAGCAGCTTAGGTGAGTACTAGCAGCGGATCCAACATTTGGTGAAATCCAAGACTGTATGATGACATTTCGCCGCAGACCATACCAGGTATTTGTTGGGTGGAGTCTATCGACCCCCTACCTGTGAATCAGAACATGTCCAGCTACTGCTCATCACTGTCTCAGAGATACGGTATCTGGGCTATGACAAAATCACTACGGCTGGAGACTTCAAAGTCGTATCCGTTAACCCTAGCTCTGGATATGCTCAGGAAAATTCGGTCGAAATATGCTGCACACCTTCATAAAAATGTAGGATTGGCTGAGAATGCTGGAGATGATACTAGGTGTGGCCCCATTGGAAAGTCATCACCATCCTAACTAGTGACCAGCTACTGGTCGAAAACGTCCAAATCATGACCCTTCCAGGTAGCAGTAACCATGCCACCACAATGTTTGATCTTGTTCTTTGTTAGCGCTTACGGCTGAATGAAAGAGATACCGTGCTTACTATACCAAGGCCAACTATGCCAAAATCTGATGACTTTTGTCCGACACAGAATGGCCTTCATGCAATTCTTCCCATTAACAAACTTAAAAAAGCAAGAAAAACAAATGTACCAGGATAATATGAGCTCATCTTTTATGATCTCGAGGAGTCTTTTCAACTAATTACAACCTGAACGATAAAAAATATGGGTTACATTAAAGATTTGAACATACCTTTTCACGATCGCAAGGAGTAATTGGTAGAAGGAAAAGTAACATTAGTACGGAATGATTTAACTAATTAAGAGTTACAAACACTGTCAATGTAGCTGAAGATTGAACGATCAATTCATGGTTGTTTGCTGAAACACAACTTCCCTACATTTTCGCGGAGGCGTCAATACACCAGTCATCGTCTCATCGGTCGCTATTCAAAAAGAACGTAGGGAAACCGTCAGAAATAATATCGTGATTTATTATTGTAATATTTGTTCATGGACCTTAGTCTATTATGCTGCTTATATATTGGTGTTAGAATAAAGAATTCTCGAGTCACCAATCGGTGTTCTGGCTTTCGCGTCCGTTAGTACTAAGCGTTTCTTAAAGGCTTCGAGGGACAGCGAGAGGCCTGGCATCGCAAGAGCTGGGCATTAACGGTTTTTGAGACGTGATTGACAAACATTGACTATTTATAGAATAATTAGACAATTAGGCTTGGAAACAAAACAGTGTTACGTATATATGTGTCCAGAATGGTCTACCGACTGGGCCGAGTTAGCTGTACAGTAACATTGCGAAATGGTGAAATGAACTATTCACAATGCAGTCTCAGATACCGTCCAATTGACAAAACTACAGCCTACGAAAGGACCCACATAGATGAAGAGGGGTGCACAGCGTATCTTGGAGGGAAAGAGGAAGGATTAGTCTAAAAGAGACTCTCTAAGACACAGACTAATCATGAAGCATACCCAGAACCCAAGAAACGACACAAAAGTGAGATCAAGAATAACGGGAGGTTATTTCAAACAGATGTTGCCGGAAAACTCCTGGCAAACACCGCGTACTACAAACCACATGTAATCACCTACGGTACCACTCCTTATGGGATCAATCAAAGCTGTGACAATCAGATAGCTTTTAAGAAACCTGCTAGTTAAGCTGCTCGAACAACTTTCAGCTCGCTCCTGGTCGGCTTTAACTAGAGGTAACTCTCAAGACCGTCGCGTAGCCATCTGTCCGGTTAGACCTGAGCTCTAGCCACACTACTCTTTAGACTGGCCTACATAACCCGGTGGCCAGTTTGTTCTTAACACCGCCCCCACTAGCAAAGGGAGAATCTAGCTGTCACTGCGGGTGTATTTACTGGCGATGATAGGGATAGATTACGCACATGTGCAATCACAATACAAAGCCACTGCTGGGCCGTCGCCCTCTGAAAATTCTGTTGCCCACCAAGTGTTTCAGTCTGCACGGATAAACAAATTGATCGTAGACAGAGAAACGCATGACATTCTGTTGACTTGATGAAATTCTTTTGTCCTCTACTGCAGAACAAACTATGCAGAGGTTTCCCGAAGGCCAAAAAACCCTTACATTGCAACCAGGAAGCGGATACAGAGAAGTAAACTTGGCTTACGCCGGCTCGTAAAAGAGATACTGGATGCATGGTTGATTAACGCCTACCAATCCATTGTTCATGCAGTAATTAAAAACTTGACCCTCTTAGAATTTGTTCGGCAAATCCAGAACAGAAGGCCTAGTTTGACTTAAGTAAACACGTGGATCCATTTAGTTGCTGAAGGTCGTGTATTCTAGCAACTTCTATGGTTTAACCTAGCGCACTATGGACTGCAAGCACCTTAGAACAGCAGCTAGTCTACAGCTAGACATGTGAAGTATTATTATTGCTTCAGAAGTAACAAGCAACACGTAATTTTTTTATTTATACGCAGCTAGGAAAAAGAACATCGTCAAGCTAATCCTTATGAAATGACCAATGAAGCCAGCGGAACGTGAAAATCACGAGTTAGTATGGTATGAAATTAAAAACCCCACATATTCAGGTATTTCATAAATGTCCTAGACCTTTTCATCCTGTACCAGTAGTATAAGAATTTGACTGTGCGTATCAAAATAGTAACCCACAATTGTCATCAAGGGTGTGACACAGAAAAATGGGTGCGGTTTTCCTAGTCAACGGGGTTCTTAAACCTACATTGACTGTTGTCGAAAGCCTTCAAACAGTGGAGCTCCTCATTATCATTCAGAACATCAAACTGAGACTAAAGTGTTAAAGAAAGGAAATAAATGACGGTTGAGCAGAAAGACGCACGAGGAGCCTACAAAAATTCATATGAATATATGCATATATGTTGAACGTATTTAAGACCTCTCAAACCCTGGCATACGTGCTACAGACAAGTTGATATCAACCAGATTTGACTGGCCTAGTATAACCCGTTTTTTGAAGGCTTGCATAAGCTCTTGTATTCGATGACGGCTCTAATAAATGCATAAACACGCTATTCATATCAAAGGCATTCCTCAGACCTTAACCACTTTCATATGGATATCATTTGCCTACTACCTCCCTCCAACGGCCACTGGTACTTACTGATATACGTAGGTCATTTTGTCTGCTGTTTGGAAGCTATCCCTTTGGCGGATACAACAGCCGGTACAATTCGGTGAGTCTTCGTCGAAGGATCGACTGCACAATTTGGACGTCCTTCCACATTGGCGACTGGCCCTGGGGAACTACCTGAATCTGCAGCCTTCAAGAAGCTTCTAGAACTACTGAGAACCCTGACCACAGCATACTAGATATCAGACAATGGACTCGTAGAGACTTTTCCACGGTCACCCTAATGATTCTCTGATGGTCTACAAAGGCGCCAAATGGACGGATTCTGTCATTCAAGTCTTTCTTAGCATCCTCTCCATTCTCAAAGTTGAAATTAAATGCGCCTAGATACAGCTAATTTATTGAGCCACATTCTCTTTACCCGACGGAGTGTTTTCTCCAGAAGGCTGTCAACCAAGTGCTCTGGATATCCAAGGCCACTTTCAGAATCTCAACTTCGAACAGCTCCAGCTCGTGTACAAAGAGATAGAGAGGGCTGCTGGATTTTAGACTCTGTAAGCCTCTACAAGCTCAGTATGATGGAGCTTTAGAGGGTCAGAGTTTTCCCTTTAATGGATAGTACGATGTAGACCAACTTAGGATCTAATACACAAATTTTTAACGTATTCGTTCCACGCAGATCAAAGGTAAGGCAAGGGATGATCGTCCTAATTACAAAGTATATTTCGGGACCAAATCGTATTGCAATGTTGAGTGCGTAACCAGCTAGAGATCGCGCGCCAAAGAACGAACGTAGCGTGACGGCGTGCCAAAGGGCGTGGATGCTTGACTGTGAGCCTTTAACCAAACAGTTCCACTTAAACAGTGAGGGTTAGCATCTGATGTTCAGTGATGAGTGCTGTGGCTATTAATTCTGGGGAATCACCTATCGCTGCAGACCTTTCAATCTGATCCAAATGCAAGAAAAACTCTCAGTCATTGACAAAGCAAGTTGTCTGGACGAGGTGAGTGTTGATGGCTTGAAGGCAACTTGTCTCAGAGAAGAATCGTCTTCTCCTGCATCGCCAAGACCAGAAAAATCCTGATCATGGAAACTTGAACCAGACTAAAATAGTGACAAAGCTCCTACACTGGAATATAATAGTAGCAAAGTGGCTATGATAAACACTGGTTGGCGTACACATTGGCCCAAGTGGCATGGGGATCTTGTCAGCTACATTGCTTTAAACCCTGCGGATCCACTAACGATAAAAAGTCTATGCTAAATTACTCCACCGACACGCGTATGCAGTAACCGTAGCTAGTTGCAGCAGCTGCTTACTCTCTGTTTGGGATATGGCCAGTAAAAAGTGGTACTTGGCTGACACTAGTGCAAAAGTCAGAGTCCCCCCACAGCCGATTTGGCCACCAACCAGTCTGCTGATATCTTCTTGACAAGTATGCAAGAATGAAAGGTTCGATCATATATATAGCGAAGGAAGTCTAGTTCTGAGTGACTGTTACTGTTACTACAACTATCCAGCCTTTCATTTTATTCGTCTCACTGTTTTTTCTAACTTTAGAGTTTGCCGTCCCCTCGACTTTCCTTCCTTTTTCTCTTCTCTCCTACTTAAGTTTCACATTCACTTCTCATGACCTGTTGCTCATCTATTATGACTTCTGATTTCGTAAAAATTATATTTTTAGTTTGTTTCCCAATGAGCTGAACAAGTATCTTGCGGATTAGCATGTGATTCCAAAATGGACATTTCCCTGGAGCCAAACGTCCTGTAGCGTTTATCTCAGCTACGGTGGCCAAGTGAGAGATTTTCTGCACTGAGATCCTTTAAAGTAAAGAGCTGCTCAAAAATGCTGAGAAGCTGTCCCGACGTTTTAAACAAGGTCGTTGCGAATCTATGGGATATTTGAAAGCCCTCTGTCAGACTAACAATTTATCCACACTTATAATGCCAATAAATCACTTTTCCTAAAATTACCTTTCACAATTAACACAAAGTTGACCCAAAATTTAACTAGCTGGTAACATTTATGTGACTAACTTGGATGGAAGTCGATTTACTAATAAGATATGCTAACGAAGTAGATGGCGCTAAATCAAACCTTGTGAGTTCCGTAGACAGCAATAATCGCTTTGGTAACATGCGTCCAATGAGATCTCTAGTTCATAGAGGTGGTGCAGTTGGCATGGGTTTGGTATCAAAAGGAATGGTTATATTTGCTGGTAACTCTCATCCAGAGTTAGTGAAAGCTGTTTGTCAGCATCTTAACGCTCGTCCTGGAAATTGTTCAGTGTTCTTCCGATCAAGTCGTGAAACTGAGGTTGAAATACGCGAAACTGTTCGAGGTGATTATTAAAAATATACATTTAATCATTATTCGAATAATTTAGGTCGAGATGTGTATATTATTCAATCGGGTACTAAAGATGTCAATAATGATATAATGGAGTTATTAATCATTGCTTATGCTTGTAAATCAGCCTGCGCAAGGAAAGTTATCGCAGTAGTGCCATATTTACCCTATTCAACACAGACTAAACGGAGAAAGCGTGGACCTATCACCAGTAAACTTGTCGCCAAAATGTTATGTTCTTCAGGAATCAACCATTTGATTACCTTAGATCTGCATTCTAAAGAAATTCAGGTAAATTTTATGAAAAAGTGAATCTTATGATTTGGATCTAAGGTTTCCGAATCATTTTTAAGCTGTAGAAATGTACATTGTGATAAGACTCAGATTCAGATGATAAAGGACAGGAGGTTCTTCAGATTTATTGATTGAAGATAGAAGGCTTCAAGCCTATGTTAATCCCTGTCGGATAAATATCCATACTTTTCTAACCATTTCTTGAATATGCCAATTATCGACGCAGAAAGCACTTATTCTGGGAGTAGTTTCCAAGAATTGATGACTCGATGTGAGAACCAGTACTCCACAGCTGCGTAGTTTCTCCTCGGCTGTTGAATTCCCGGACTATGTCCTCTGAGTTGTTCCGATTTGGTGGGAAGAAAAAGAGAAAAAAATTCAGGTTCATAGTCTTTGTTAAGAAGATTTTAAACATCGAGGTCTGTCTGTCTGTCTACGATATGACAGGGAGAAGGATTTAAACTGTTTAGTCTGCCCTTTTATTATAAATTAGTCATGCCAAGAAATATACATGTTGCCTTCTTTTGAACTCTTTTTAGAATGTGATCCCCTTAAGACAAGGACTGGCTGCGTGGATACAGCTTTCCAGTCTTGACCTCACTTGAGATGTATATAAAAAGGTGAACATATCTCCGGTGGTTCTAATGCTCTGCGAATCCCCCTTAAAGACTTGAGACTACCTGCAGCCGCTGCGCGACAATGTGCTGTAGTTTTTACGTCGTAACTTATTACGACACCTAAGTCCAAATGAGTCTGAACTGATGGGAGGGTTATTCCTTCTAGTTCGTAGGAACTGATGGTTGATTGTCCAATGCGCATGGTTGTGCATTTCTCTACGCTGATCGGGAGCATCCGTTCTTTGGACCACTCTAACATTTTGGTGGTCGTGTCATCGTCACCGTTCAGCTCCCTCCAAATGTTTAAGTCATCTGCATATGGGACCATATGGATATCAGTGATCACATATAACTTATTGTAATCTGTGTATCTTTTTAGAGGTCTAGTTTATCTTTGAAAGCGTTTACCGATGTGGGTGACATCACTTGGTCGGGTAAGGAGTTCCAATCGTTGACCATCTTATATGAGAATCCACACACTTACTTTGTTCAACATCAATCTGGACATTTTCTTGTAATCATCTTTCGATGCTGTCCTGGGAGGAAAGAAGACGTCGAGAAGGTCAGCACCTAAATTACGCTTTAATATACGATATGTGCCACAATTGAACTTCCTCTTCTCCGTTGGCACGATAATAGGAAGAGATTTAAATGTTCCGTTATCTTCTCATTTGAAAGGCTGGAGATATCACAGTAATTTGCTTCCAACCCTTTGTATTCCTCCCAAGACCTATACATCCTTCTTAAAGCATGGAATGGCTATTTGTTAACAGTGTTCTTGGTGAGGTGTGATGTTGAGAGTTGAGTACTTGAAATAGGCTTATCTAAGCGCTTAAGAGTCTTTCAAAGTGCCCATTACTTTCGAAAAACCTTAGCTTCAACTGTATTACAATATGCATTTGTTCTCGAATCACAGCTTACAGCAATTCCCAAATCCTTTTGTCCCTTAACATCAAATGGTTCTGTATCCGCTAGGAAGTACGACATGTAAGACCTCTGACCCAGGCGCATTACCACACTGTTCTTGAAATTAATTCCCAAACTTCAGAGGTTACAGCTTGTAAGGTCTAGTGATACTACTACTTTAGCTGACCAAATCGCGATTGGTGGAGCTGGGTTTAAACCTGTTAGTCAGTGGTTGGAAGTCGAGTGCTTACACCAATGAGGCACATCCCTAGTGTGGAAAGGATAATGCTAGTGGATCTCTAATTATGGTTCTCTAAGAATCTGTCACCTTAAATGGGCTACATAAGTTGTAGTCATATCGGATGTTTGAAGGCTTACAGATATCAGCTATCCTTACCCAAAAGTTCAGTAACTGGCATACGCAACCATATAAGTGTGCTGTTCTACAAAGCATGACACTTGCTTCAAACTAGTGCACTAACTGTGGTTTACATTTCATTGATTTCTTAAGCTTTCTCAACTGAATATTTCACTGGCTCAAGGGTTTTTCAAATATCTTTTCCGAGATGTCGTCGTTAATCAGATCCTAAAACTGCTTATCTAATATATTATTATACTACAGATTGTGTCTCAGGGGATTCATTTGTTAATTGACTAATCCCTTTTTGCTGCAATTTATGCTTTTATGTCTGTTTTGTGGCTTAGAGCATTAAATTTCTTTTCAGAAAGTGGCTATTATTGGTATTATTATGTTACTTATCAACCAACTGTGATCCCATGCAGTTGGCAATGAACCACACCCACTCTGTGAGGGCTAATGATGTTGTCTAAACCCGAATCGGGGTTCGAATCTGTGACCCGGCTAGCCGAAAGTCAACGGCCTAAACCAATAAGCCACAGCTGCAGCTTCAAAAGTGATCATAGGCATAACTTACTATCAGGTGTTCTCTTCCACCACTATTTTGTAAGGGACTGCTTAAAAAAAAAATCAATTTTGTGGGGTATTTAACTGGATATTAGTTTGTTAGTGTGTCCGTCTGTCTGTTTTCAACATAGAACTCTGCACTGATGTGCAGCAGTTCAAGTCGCCACACTTTATGTAGCACACAAAGCAAGAGAAAGCAGAAGAAATGCATAACAGAGACAGTAAACAGGGAAACGAAGAAAAATATTGTTTCATTGGGTATTATAAGTCACAAGGAGTGAATGCATCTGCGCCATCACTGAGAACGATTTTGAGCCATATCACGGATTGTCTGCAGCCATTGGTTTTCACCGTCCCGAAGACCCCAACCAGGAAGTCTACATCTTCCCACTTGTCTGGCTTAAACTAACTGTTATGGATTTCATTGACTGATGAGGCCATGTTTTAGTTTGACTGCCGCTAGCTCCTCTCTAGGCTGACACTATGTAAGCTAACATTGCCTGTTGTCGAGGAAGGCGATGGCTAGGCATGTGTAACATATGTCCTAACCGTTTCAGTCGATGTAGCTTCACAGCCTCGTTGATTTATTTCCCCTCCTTACCTAGCACTCGACCAATGCCTAACCTTAATATTGCTCACCTTATTATACCACTTCACACGGGAGATAGAACGCAGGCACCTATGATCAAAGACAGCTAATCTTTTCATGTCTTCCACTCTCAATGGCCAGGTCTCACAGTCATCCGTGAAGGAGGATGGAGAGGACTGCTGAGCAGTACACACCACACATCCTTTGGTCGACAGCCAGTCGGATATCACGTCTACACCAGAGCCGGCGTAAACTGACATATGCGAAACTAGCTTTGTGTATCCGTGCTGAGATTTCGTCAGCGATCAACCCGTTGCGACTGATGCAGCTTCCCAAATAAGTGAAGTGGTCAACACGCTCAACCATTTCCTCCCTATTTCTAAGCTAGGAGTAAGTCAATGTAGTCCAGTCCTGTAGCATCTTACATTTGGTGGGAGCGAATCGTATGCCACACATTCGCAGATTGCAGCTCAAGGTGCTCAGAAGACTCTGCATTTTGTCAGCGTCTTCACTGAGAAGGACTATATCATCTGCATATTCTAAGTCAACGAGATTATTCCCTGGTAACCATTCAATCCCTGAGTTGCTGAAGGCAGTCAGTTAGAGTTAAGTCCACTAGTATATCTATGATGAATTTGAGTAGAAATGGGGATAGTGGGCATCTCTGACAGACACCAGTGGTTGTCACCACTTCAGGTGACAACTCTCCATAGGCTCTCACCTAGCTGCAAGAGTTTGAGTAGAGTGCCTTGATCAGTGCATTGTTTTTCTTGCCATTCCTTTTACAGCCAAGCATGACCAGAGTACCTCTCGATCGACAGAATCGGATGCCGCCTTAAGGTCAAGAAATATGACGATTGTTGAACGCCAGTAAGTATGCCTATGTTCCAGAATCTGTCAAAGGGTAAAGGAAGATATGATCAATATACCCTCTTCCTGGTCTAAAGCCTGGCTTGTTCTCTCGTGTTTGAACCTCCCGTAGACCAGTTTGTTAATCAGCTGATGTTAATCCACCGATGTATCTATATACATCTCTTCCCCTTTATCCCACAGCATATTTCCCTCTCAGCATTCGTTCTCAGCGATTCTTCTTAGCTGGCTTCAAGACTATTCAAAAGCTTTCATTTTCCCGTCACGATCACCATGTCATTTTCGGACCCACGCCCAACTCGTCGCTTGCTTCCTACTTGGGTTCCACTCTAGGGCCTGATGCATGATGTTACTCAACAGTCTCTTAGGCTTATCTCCAATCTATCTCCATTTCCTTCTGCATATTCGTTAGGTAACAGGTCCTTGGTTGATTCACTATACTGCCAGACTTCTTTGTTACCTATCCTTTCTTACCTACCGACCATTTTATCTTCAGTATCCATGCAACTGCGATGGTTAATACATGTGTTACGCATGCCTAGCCATCACCTCCCTCGACAGTGGGCAATGTTAGCTGATATAGGGTCAGGTTGGAAAAGAGTCAGTGGTGGTCAAACCAAAACATGGCTTCATCAGTCAATGAAATCTACAAGAGTTAGTTTAAGCTGCTTAGGAAGTTCCTGACTTCCTGGTTGGGGTCATCTGGACGGTAAGAACCAATGGCTGGAGACAATTGGTGATATGGCCCAAAATCGTTCTCAATGGCTGGCGCAGATGCATCCACTCCTTGTGACTTATAATTTCCAATGAAACTATATTGTTCTTCGATATCACTACTCTTTTTGTCTCATATCCCTGTTTACTGTTTCTGTTTTGCATTTCTTTTTACTTTCTTTCTGGTTTTGTGTGCTACATGGAGTGTGACGACTCGAACTGCTTCACATTGGTGCAAAGTTCTATGTTGAAACCAGTCAGTTAGTCAGTCACTACACATGCAGCGAAGGTAGGAGTGTTGATAAAAGTCTGCAATAGTCTGGTGAAGATGCCTTTCATGACGCCTGCTCTTTCTCTGAACCACATAGAATCATTGCCAAACTTGACATTAGTGATGAAGATCCGAGGTTTGTTCCTTATTCTGCGTGCAGCAGAGTTCCATACTGATTGCAGCGTGATGAAGGTCTGTCTTGGTTTTCCAATCCTGGCTGGCTTTGATATCCTCATCTGTGCCGCTTAAATAAGTGAGAGAGGTTATTTCCTTCAAATATCTCCTGTTGATGGTGCTTGCTGCTTACTGGTTTGTGCTACCTTCGCCTCAGCCATCACTAATGTTTACTTGAAGTTCTGTCTTCGTTGTTGATCTTGCTTATAGATCTTCGAGTTGGCAGGATACATAAGGCATAAATCGTCCTCGAAGTTCAAATCTTTCAATGTGTGACGAGCATGAAGTTGGGATACGCTTCAAATCTGGCTATCCATCAAAGGATTTCTGTACTGTACAGCAGCAGTTCGCTCTATCCTCCTTCATGACTGTGAGACATGGTCATTAAAAGTGGAAGATATGAAAAGTCTAGCTGTCTTTGACCACAGATTTTTTGCATTGTCCCCCGTCTCAAGTGATATTACGTGCTGATTAATATTGAGGTTAGGCGTAGAGCTCTAGGTAAGAAAGAGAAGCCAATCAATGAAGTCGTAATGGTGAATCGATTAAAATTTTTTATTTTTTATTTATTTTTGATTACAGCTTGATTCCACGCCGTATTTTTGGTACAAGTATGGAATTTTCAGCGTGGATATCGGTAGCCCAAAATTCGCAGGCCGACCATAGATATCAGGTGTGCGTCGGCGAGGGCTCGAACCCCGGACCATGTGCATGGTCGGCGAGAATCCTAACCAGTGCCACCGACGTACATGTTGAGCACCCTGAAGCACTGACTATCCTCAGTGAGAAGTGTTAGCGGACGTTGGATTAGGACCGATTAAACTAAATCCTATGGTCAACTCATTATTATTATTTTGTTTTCTTTAGTTCCCAGAGGAACATAGGGCTTCAGCCGCACGTCTTCATTGCGCTACGTTCTCTGACAACGTTTTCACCTGGCTCCACGTCTGCTCGCATACTTTCATCTCTTCACATCACATCCTCCATGTCACCCTCGCACTAACGACAAACTTGCCGCTTCTAATTCGAATTCCACTAGAGACATGACCTGGCGTGTGATGTCACTTGATGGTTTCCTCATAGTATGGCCAATCCACCTCCATTTCTTCCTGAATATATGTTGCACAATTGGTTCCTGATGGGTTGGTTCGCTCGCAGAGATCCCTCTCTGCTGCTGATCTTTTCTGGCTATCTGATCTTGAGTATTGAGCGAAGACTGTTGTTGATGAAAGTCTGTAGTTTGTTCGAAGTGCCCTTCGTGACGCGCTGGCCAATTATATGATCCGTATAGTAGCACTGAGTTCACAATGGAGTTGAAAAACTGGGATCTAATTTTTCATTCTGAGTGCCGTCGACCTCCACACAGACTTGTGAGTAATGAAAGCTTGTCTTGCCTTGCTTTCCCTATCCTCGTTTTGATTTCCTCATCAATCCCATCCGCCTGTAGTTGGAACGATGCTTTCCAGGTAGGTAGGTATGTAAGTAGGTGAAGGAGGTTGATTCTTTCCGATTTCTCTCATTTATGATGATTGTTATCTGCTATTGCTGCTGTCGCTGTTGCTGTTGGCCAGGAATCTTCATCGTCACATCTGCTTCCTCTATGTTAACCTGAAGTTCTATCTTCTCTAGATGCTTCTTCTATCGTCAACTTATTGCTTTTCACTTGCATATCTTCCATTTTGTGGGAAATCATCGGCGAATTCCAGATCCTCGAAGTTTATTTTTATGTGGGTCCATTTTATGCCCGTTTCTTCGCTCTCTGTCTGTCGTCAACCCATAATCTTTCATTATTAGTTTTAGCTAGCCATATGTGTGGAGGTGTAGACTGGCTCACTGAGATCATTGGGATGCTGTGAACTTATAGCTTAAGACTATGTGTAACATATATGGCTTAAAATCGTTCCCATAGGACTCAAATTAGTTGTGGATTTATGGGGTTTCATTTTTTTCTCAATCTGCATGTTTTTATTTCTTTTCGATTTTAGGGATTTTTCGATGTTCCCGTTGATAATCTGCGTGCTTCACCATTTTTAACTAAATACATTGAAACATACATAGCTGATTATAGAAATGCAGTTATAGTGGCTCGTAATCCTGGTGTTGTACCACGGGCTACTAGTTATGCAGAACGTTTACGTTTACCGCTTGTTGTTATTCACGGGGAAGAAAGAGATGAAAGTGATAATACCGACGGTCGTAATTCTCCACCATTGGATCAACCTGTTTCAGAGAAAAGGTTTGTAAAACAGGGTTTTTGGGTTCGGCTGTATAAAGTTTTGTATTATTTCGTTTACTATTTCAGTATATATGCGAAGGTTGGGATGCTACTACCTGGACACCCAGATCAAAGTTAGTGGTTGTCTTAAGGGGTAACGCGCACTCGGAGCCTTTGACTTGAAGTGTAATCTGCAAGAACTGCATTTCCATAGTCTCCGATGAACAAATTAGGTTCATCATACGCCATTCGATTTGTTCTAATTCTGTTACTCTTTACATTAACATAGATTTGAAGTCAGGATTTCCTAGCTACTGTAGGTAGACCGGTATGTCCACCAGTGTGGCGGGGGTTGTAAGCGCTAGGCGCTAGCATTCACTCCCTCACTTTTGTGAGGAACACCCCTTCCAAGTGAATGAGGCTCACCTGGCTGCCAAAGACTATGAGAGCGTGGTCACATTAGTGCATTTTGCGAGGAAGACCGAAGTCTACGCACCCTCTGCCGTACCAGGTCGTTTATGAGGATAACGTATATATATATATATATATATATATATATAAGGGTGACATAGTTGATATAATTGCTCGGAAGTGGCTTTAGAAGTGAAAATTAAAAGTTTTAAATAACGTGGTGCTCAATGGCACAAAGTTAGAAATTTGATTAGGATAAAATTGTTATTGAGTGAGAAGAGAGGTGGTAGTTGAGTGTCAATTTAACAAGTGTGAAGAGAGTGTGAAAATGTACAACAGGGAGCATATGAGAATGATAATAGTGAATTATTTATTGAAGTAAAAGTAAACTAAAAGTAAAATTAAAAAGTAAAGAAAAATCAAATATTTTTTTAGGGAACAATTAGTGAAGAGGTTAAGACCAAGGTAGAATAAGAGACTGGACAAACTTTCTTTTGTATACAGAGTTCAGGGATGTATTGACGAATTGCTAGCGCCTCCGCCATACACAAAAGCTGAAACCTGACGCCTTGTGTACCATTTTGCTTCACTTTGTAGATGATCTTGAAAGACGACTCTGGTGGAGCTACGTGGCCTGAGTTAACCAAATGCTCGAGAATTGAGCTAGTAATTGTCTTACGTTGTCCCTTTGCTAACCATGCCGGATAATGTTCAGAGATGCGTTTGGGAAGTGTGCTCCTTGTGTGTGTGTGTGTGTGTGTGTGTGTGTGTGTGTGTGTGTGTGTGTGTGTGTGTGTGTGTGGTCAATATAACTAGCTCCCCACGAGCCAGTGGATTTATAAACACATATTGAGGTGGCCTAAAGTGTCAGTTTATCCTTAACACATCCATTGATCACCTTTAAATTCGACATTGATAAATAGGAGTTTCTTCGGCACCGTCTGGGTTCTTTCAGGCTTTTGCTTTAATTTCATGTTTTTTCTCGATGAATCTTGGAGGATATCCGTTTTCCATTAGGACTTGTCTGAGTCGTTCCAGTTCCCCGTCGATTGTATCACTGGAACATATTCTTCTTATTCTTGACAATAAGGGGTGGATCACATTTTTCTTTCTTCTCAAAGGGACCCAACTACGAAAATTTGTGTATTGACCACTCCATATCGGTTTCCTATAGATCGATCTTTGAAGAGAACCATCAGATCTCCTTTTTAGAAAAAACATCAAAAAAATGGAATCCCGACGTGAACTGAATGGCATGATAGCAGCTGTTGAACTCTTTAGTTATCAATCCGATGTCGGTATTCTCGTAGCATATGATGAAAATATCCTCTGAAGATGATGTCGTCGGTAGAGAAAATTTTCTCCGCTGAATTCGTCTTTATTTTCTTCATGACTCAATGGGTATTTTCGGTGATATATAAACGCACAAGTGAGCACTTATCCTATATTCTGATGTCATCTTAGCTGAAGTTAGTATACGTGTTAGTACTTTTTGTGAGCAGCCATCTTTCAGCTATACAACAAATTAGTGTGGTCGGTAGATGGTCAACTTGTATGATTCCACGTAAGCTTTATCCCTCAAATAATTAGCGACTGTATTTATTTGAAAAATTTTTTTATTTTGATTATAGCTTGATCCCACTCCGTATTTTTGGTACAACTATGGAATTTTCAGCATGTGATATCGGTAGTCCAAATTTTGCAGGCCGACCATAGATATCGGGTGTGCGTGGACAAGGGATCGAACCCTGGCCCATGTGCATAGTTGGCGAGAGTTCTAACCGCCATGCCACCAACGCATAATACAGAGTATTCCAGTGGTTACAGTGTATTCTTGGCTACGTGGATTTCATTTCTGATAGATTCAGTGGCTGACATGAAATTATCTATTTTGCAAAGACTATTAGTGAACGCTTTAGTCTCAAATTGTACTGCTGGTTTTGCGAGATTTGTTAAAGTCATTTGTACTTTTTTAAAAGACTATAAATGTCACACTAGTTACTAGTATCCAATCAAAATGTTTAATATCATTTGGGCGGAAAAGATTCCATATGAACCAGGTTATAATATGAGCCACATTTACTGTGTGAAGGCTGGTGATACTACCCAGTTGCCCAGACTAAAGTAGTTGGTGTGGGATTCGAAACTTGGTACCCACTGACTAAAAGTTGAATGCATCCTTAAGCCAGTGAGCCGCGTCTCCACTTAGACAAATAAAGAATTCAGCAAACTTTGTTCATGTTAGATAGTTGAAGGCAGTCATCAGGAAGCTATGAACCAAGGTTTGGTGCTTTTTGACGCTCATCACCAGAACGTATCTGCAATCTGGGAATCGAACCTTCGCCACCCAGTTCTGACCTCCTGTAGGACTGTGATGGATACAGCAAATAGTCAGTAGGGTGTAATCAATGTCTCATGTGTCTAATTCTTGGTGTTGATACCAACTGGATTCTCTCAGTCAAGCTTTCTTTTGAATTCACCAACCTGAGGGGCCCATTTAAGTTTTTCTAACTTATTAGTTTAGTCCCGAGCTCCACTCAATCAAATTATTCATTCGACATTCACTGATTTTGATACATGCGAAACAACATATCACTTAGTTTACAGGCTAACCAATTCACCGAGTGGTTCATTATTATCATTTTCAATATTATTATTCCCTTAAGTCCCGAGTGGAGCACGGGGCTTCAACAGCACATTTCCATCCCTTTGTGTTTTCTGCAGCTGCGTGTAGCTCCCTGATAGTATAGCGCTGAGTATCTTCGCCTGTTATGTGCAAGGCTTGGGTTCGATTCCCAGTCGAGTAGCTGGCTTTTTGTACGTCGGTGGTAGTACAATAGTCGCCAACCACGTAAGTGGTCTGGGATTCGATTTCCGGTCGATACACTCCGAAGCCAGACTTAGCTGGTAACAAGTCTGGTAAAGAAAGAAGTTCAAGTGTATGAGGGCAGCAACATCATCCCCGTGAAAAACATCACGGTTACTGAAACTTCAAATCTCAAACATGAAGCTATTTGTGTTCCTTTTGGGACACACACACACACACAATGGGATGAAATAGAAAGTGATGCATTAACTTACCAAAAGAAAATTGTTTTATATATTTCTTTCACTTTTTTTTTACCTTGTTTTTAATTTTTAGTAAAACTACCCAAGTAGGTCTTGAATTGTTACCAATGATGATACCTAAAGCCAAGCCACCATTGACGTTAGTTGGAGATGTGAATTCAAGAATTGCTATTATTATTGATGATATTATAGATGATGTATCAAAGTTTGTTACTGCAGCTGAGCTGCTTCATGAACGGGGTGCATATAAGGTATGTGAGATGATGGCGTACTGAATCCTCATCATTTTACGTGTTATTATTTTTTCTATTATTGGTTTTGTAGGGATTTTTTGTTTGATTGCATGGAGGATTTCATCACGAGCTGACATCAGTTAGACAACCACTGGAAAACCAGCTGGGAGTACTGGACAGCTCTTTCGTCAGCCTAGTTTGGGACTCTTCATCGGTACGCACCCACCACCACGGGTTAGAACCCAGGACCTTCTGGTTACAAGGTGAGCTAGCTCGTAGACCATTGAGTCACTGGGACCCGATCCAATGATCAGTCCATCAATTCTGACTTCTGCCAATTCACGACATAGCGCGACCTTTTCGGAATGTCTCCTTCGATGAGTTACCGCCTCATCTTCAACCTGCTGTACGCTACCACTGGTCACGGCTTCCCAATAGAACCCCAGGTTAACTGCCTGAATAGGGCCAGTCGCTAGTGAGCATCAGACTGATTTTCAAGTATTGGTTTTGTGGGGATGAAATAGTTGTCCAGTACTCCCAGCTGGTTTTCCAGTGGTTCTCTAACCGATGTCAGCTCATGATGAAATCCTCCATTCAATTATCCTTTCTCGCCTAAATTTCCGTTTGTTATATTTTCTTTGGGAAACTCAGTACAGTCCATGCTTTGTTATTTATCCAATCGTTGCTTTTTGGAGGTGGGATTTAATGTTGCCTTCTCTGAACTGGATGATCTAATCGAGAAGCTCTGAGCATGTTGTCTAGGAAGATAATGAAAGCTTCACAAGTAAATTATTCATCTGAAACAATTTCACAACACCGAGGTACTCACTTGTTCTACAAATCTTTTCTCTCATTTCTAAGGCGACGTTAGTAGTCAGTTGTAGAGGCTAATCACATGGTCAACTAACAACCGTTACCTTGACATCGTGGTTGGGCTTGCATATCTCAATGATCCAACAAAATACCCTCTGGCTGGATCGAATGTTCCAGGTTCTACCATACCAGAAAGGAGGTTTAGGTTGGGGTCAGAATAAAAGCAGTTACTGTCATATTATAAGCTGTTTACCGTATGCTGGGAGGGGGTCTGAGGGCGAGGTTGTACTGCCGACCAATAGGGATGCAGCAACTGTAAGGTGTTCCCTTCGTACTATCGTCATATGGTCGAGTGAAATACCACACCTGAATCTTGTATGCATGCCTGCGAAACAACATATATCCACTGCTCGAGATGCTAGAATTCTGGCTTGTGACGACTCCTGTTAACCGGCTTGGCAAAGAGCCTTGACGTTGAATACTACGGTATGTAATTGGCAGTTTGGTTTCAAGAGACTATCAGTGGTGTTTTTCTGGCTCTTGTCTCTATCTCCTATCTCCGGGGCGCTAACTGTAACTAAGGTTACAAAGGGCTGTCTCTAATCTAAATAGTGTCAAAGAAAAGCGAGACCTGATGGAATGATCTCAGGTAGTTAAGCATATTGATGGTGAACTTATTGTCTGGGCTAAGATATAAGGTAATCTGAGATAATCTTGTTGGTGTCTGGTGAAAATATTTGATTGTCCTAGAGAAACACTGGAAAAATTATGAACATACCTTTTAGGATTGTGCCTTTCCACACGTTTATCAGTAACTTCCTTAACGTAGTTCACAAACACATAGACCATAGATCCTCTGGCAATCTATCAACTGCAGTTTGAAGTTGCAGTAAATGCCTACCTATCCAGCTCTCAGTTGAGTTGATCTGATTTAAGGTGAATCACTTCAGCATTCTTACATTCGGCCTTATTTTGCGATCTTCGTAGAGACTTCCAATAGAATTTTGGATAATGATTTTAACTCCATGTATGATTCAACGAATTGAATAGATACCGTTTGCTGCCTCGGCCAGCCTAGCGCTAAACTTCACGAATTCATTGAGTTCTTTCAGTGCTACGGGATACCCGCAGATTTTCAGTAATTTTAAATGTTCCCATTATGATAATCACAGAACACGGTTTAAGCAAGAAAATAAATATTTTCGGTGAATTCTCATCAGGTTTTACACAATTACATAATAAAATTATTAAACATAAATATATGAAACCATTATGGTTGGTAGAATTAAAGTTCAGGTAAATGTGTAGGGTCTTGTACTTTGAAGTCTCTGTAGTGATTTGATTGATTTTCCCGGAGTGGACACAGGGTGAAGAGCGAGTGAGGAGCCATCAAGTCGAGGAGTTGCATCAGTGGGAGGAAGGCAGGGTAATAGGGATGAAGATGAAGACAAAGATAAGTGAGGATTAGAGAGGTTTTGTGTGCATTTCGGATTGTGAGGGCGATTGTTACTTCCCGGCTGCCCACACCGTGGAAGTTGGTTGCGTGACCGCAGAGCCTAGGGGACAACTGCTTGAGGCCGGTCACACGCGGCCTGTTTTTGTTTGTTCTCTTTTGTTTGGTGTGTCTCAGTAGCATACTTATCACTCCTGCGCTGTGACACGGCAGCAGGAAGCGCGGTCGTTGTTAATCCGGGCCACGGCCGATCCGGCATGAAATTTCGTGAATTTGTTTGAATCATGGTCTTGGATGGGGTAGCTGCTTTTTGTTTAACCACTATCCAAACAACCTACCTGGCATGGTAGGACCTCAAGAGACACAAATCTCAGCCAGTATAGCTTGATTAGGTCATTGCGGTGTTCAAGCCCCCGACCACCACGTCAAGATAGCAGCTTTCGGTCGGGATAGGGTCACTAGCCGGGAGGTTCCAACCCTCTCCTCTTTTCTCAGACTTGGGACCGGTTGGAAAACTAGGCGAGGAAGCATCATTTCAACGACTTACTGGCGACAGAACGGATGAAAATGTCGAACCGAGAATCGGAAGGGCAAGACATCTTCATCACTTCCATATTAATCCACAAACTGGACCCACTGAGACCCATCTTAGATATGTCATTCTCCTTACCATAAATCGCCAAATGGATTACAGAGGTCCTTACGCCTGTAAGAGACTCATTATCAAATCATTCTGTAAAAAGTTCATTTGATCTTACAGAAATGCTAGACACCTTGAACATTAAGGAAAAGGTTATGTGTTCAATTGACATAGAATCTTTATTCACCAATGTTCCCCTTCATGAAACTGTTGATTTCATTTGCGACTACATCACAAGCAACGGGATAAACTTACCTATTCCTGTAACGTACATCAAAGACATCATCTTAATGTGTACAGAAAATATTAGATTCACATTCCAAGGAAAAGCATACAAACAAATCGACGGTGTTGCAATGGGTAGCCCTCTGGGGCCCCTGTTAGCAGATATATTTATGTCGAAATTAGAGAAACAAATGCAAGGTATGCTTGGAGAATTTATGCTGTACAAACGTTATGTAGATGATACTCTTATTATTAGTAATAATAGCAAATCTATTGAAAACTTTATCACCCTATTTAATCATATCCATCCAAATATTCGAGTGACCTCCGAACTAGAATCCAATAACAAACTCGGTTTCCTGGATATTACTATGACTAGGAGAAATGATGGAACGATTCAGCGCTCTATTTTTCGTAAACAGACGTGGAGTGGACAATATCTTCATTTTACCAGTTTTGTTCCTATCCAGTATAAACGTTCCCTGGTGAAATGTTTGTTCTCAAGGGCTCGAAAAATATGTACGAGTGACACATTGATGGATGAGCTTCGACATATACATTCAGTTTTACTAGCCAATGGTTATCCAGAAAACTTCATCAATTGTCACGGTAAGGATAGACCACATCTTGAAAAGACAGCTTCTGTACCAAAGAAAGCCATCTTTATTAATCTACCATTCAAGGGCGACCAGATTATGCAGTTGACAGCTCAAAGACTTCGGTCAGCCATCAAACGCACATTCTACGCCGCATCTCTTTTTCTCACTTGCCGAACATTTTCGATCCCTGTTCCTACGATTAAAGGACGAAATTCTGTGGACTCTACTTCAAACTGTATCTACAAGTTCACCTGCAGCTGCGGTGACACCTATATAGGTAGAACTAACAGAATGTTCCAATGTCGTCGAAAAGAACATGTTCCAAAATGGCTAGTAAATCATATCGAAAATCCTAACGCGATTAATCTTAATAGAAATCCAGCATCATCCATTGCAAAACACTTATTAATGTCTGGTCACAAAATCAATATTAATGACTGTTTCACAATTATTTCACATAACTCTAATTCAAGGTTATTGAAGGTGATGGAAGCACTTTGGATTAATCACATACAGCCTAAACTGTGTGTACAAAAATCAATAGACTTCAATCTTCGCCTACCCTGGACTGCATGACCTATCTTAATATGATTGGTCATTAGTATGTACTTTTGTTTTTATTTAACTGAGTAATTTTCATGAACTTTATTTTATCATTGTTAACCATGTTAGTTGTAAAGCGGTTGTAAAGAAACTACGAAATGATATCATCTCGCGAAATTTGTCTTCTTAATGCCTTATTCAACTTCTATATTAGTTTGTTTATTAGATATATCACACACAGTGAGTGAAACGGTATTATTTAATGGTGACAAAGTTTCAAACACAATTTATTATTGTTCATTATCATTCCATCAATTATAATCACACAACTTCGAAACTTGAGTTTTATGGTTTTCTTCGTCCTCTCCTATTTGTCATTAGGGTAGTAGAATTTTCCAGATGTCAGGGAGGGTGGACAGGTGTTGAATCATTCCTGTTACATGTACTTGCAGTTGATTCAATGATGAATGAAGCTTCCATTATCAATATCTCCCTCCACCCTGCGGTTATATTAGGTTTTAAAACTGTCATCCTATCCAGCCTATTGTGTGGTTGGTTGTGTGTAATTGCATGTAGTGACTGGTAGCTGACATGTAGCTGAACTATTCCCCAGATTTCTTATCTTATTCGAGTCAACCACTCTAGATTTTGCTGCTTGGTTTCTATGCTCCGCTAGTCTGACTGACTGACCCAGTTCTACTACTATTTTTTCTCATGTATTTGATCTGACAATCATCGCAAGCAG